TCTCTCTCTCTCTTGCCTCGGCTCTTTCCCACAACTCTTGAAGCTATCAGGTCCAGCGTCTGCTCCTCTTTCGGCAAGGACCGGTGCAGTGAGGTGCGCAGGATCTCAGCGAGACCGTTGCCTAGCAAGTGGGCTGCGGGAGGTATTCTCAGTCGGAGGTTTGGTCTTTGACTTTTTGATGTCATATCGGGCGGCACTTGAGGTAGAAGGTCTATGCGTGTCGCAACCCATCTTGGAGCATGCAAGCCTAACCCTAAGGCCCTAAGGGTCCNNCCTCCCACCTAGCCAGGACGAGCCCGAGTCGCAGGGTCCAGTTTTTTTTGTCGCAGGGTCCAGTTAGGGTTCGGGGTTTAGGGTCCATGTGACCATGTGCTCAAATGGAATATACTGTGGCCTTAAAGTGGCTCTTAAAGATTTGCACTTTGGGTCCAGTGTGTATACTGCCACTTGGGTACATGCCCCCTGAATATCCGTGAAAAAGCCCTAACCCTCACCCGAAATCGTAACCCGTTCAATTCCTCCAAACATCCCTAAACCCGAAGCACCCCCAAACCTCCAAATCCTTTAAAGCTTCCTGAAATCAAGCAAAAAAACAAGGCCTCCGGACGGTCGCTTCACGTCTTCCTGGAGGTCCAGGCCTCAGGGTGATCTTGAGTTTAGAAGGTTAGGTCCTACATACAGTCTTCACATACACATTACACCTATATGTATCTATATATATATTATGTATATGTATATATTATATGGTATGCATGTATTTCTACAGATGTGTGTATGCAGTATACATTTACGTGCATAGACTTACCTATGAGTAGGTATGTATTTCTAAACAAGTAGATGTTATGTGCCTGCATGTATATAAGATGTAAGTTGGTAGATATAGAGACATGTCTTTGTCATCTATTTACCTACCTACCTACCTATCTGTCCACCTATCTGTCGGCCTATCTATCTAAACGGTCTATCTACTGTCTATCTATCCGTATTATAGGCATATATGTACATACGCGTGTATATACATATACTATCCATTTTTATAGGGATGTGTACATGTGTGTGAAAGAGCACAAACGCACGTATCACTCGTGTTTGTACTGCCACGGCGGCATGGACATGTCTGTTGGTTCCTCAAGGCTTGGTATAAGGAATCGACCGACGGAGGCGGGTCTAGGGCCCGACCACCCCCCCCTATCCCCGATCTGGCCCCACCTCTTCAAAACGAAAGCTGATGTCTTAAAGTTTGGGGCATCTTATCTAGAAGGGCTTGAGTTATGCCAGTTGTTCATAGGCTGTGAACTTATCACAAACCCCGGCAAGGCCTCAACTGCTAGTGGACCCAGTAGCAGCTGCGGCCAAGCTTCACCTGGCGGCTTCCATCCTGGTGCAATGGTTCAAGCTGCGGGTCTGAACCACGCCTTCTGCCGCTACGTGTTATGTCGCGTGCTAGGATGGTTGAAACCCATTGGACACATGGATTTATGATAGGCTTCTTGCCTCGGAAGGAAGGTATATCCCGAAACTTCTTTGCAGCAATCCTGTTAGGGCTACTGCTCATGCTCATCAGAATCACAAGAAGAACCAACAAGTGAGCCTTGCAATAGTCAATGGCCAGAGCACTAGCAGTGTCAAAAACAGCAACAGCAGCCGCACGAGCGGGAGTTGCGGCAGTTGTGGTGGTACAGGACTGCTTAGTAGGCATCGTCGTGGCCACCCTGGTGGGACGCATTTTCTAACAACGAATTTCGCAAGAAGCAGGCTTTGGGTGCTTGCACAAAGATATGGAAAGAAATATGCATGATTAGCGACTTGATCTGGAATAGGAGGTCTGCGCCCTGGGCTAACATCAGTAGTTGGAAACTCATCGTGCCAAATGTGTACTATATGCTAAATTAACAGTCCCCTACCATGCAGACCCTAACTTAGCCCTGACCCTAAAACTTGATAAACCCTAAAACCTGAACTCAACATCTTCAATACTACAAAAAACTGAAACCCTCAACCCTAAACTCCTA